AACTCTTCGTGATCTCTTTCAGGCCTTTCTGCTAATTCATGCGCTGTCCACTTCGCGGTTTGCGCCATCCTGAAGGAGGCGCGAAGAACAACACTCGTCTCGGTAGGTGGTGTTTCGGCATGCGTAGCACATGACCGAGCCATCGTAGTCGATCATCCTGGATGTTTTCCCAGATTGAAGTACGTACAGCACAACCAAATACCCATTTTCTAATCACCTCGTTGCTAACACGCTGACGCCATCCGAAACCGGTCACGCTTCTGAAGACGCCTCACATCATCTGTCCGCAGAGGCCATATCTCCAACCCATACAACAATACAACCCCTACTTTTACCTGGTACATGCGACCCTTAAGATCTAGTGAGATGTCTTCTTGATGCCACAAGTGACGCAAATTAGCAAACGTGATTCGAGCCTTCAAGATTCTTGCACTGACTTCATCAGACACACTTCCGTCAGAGCTAATACAACTACCGAGGTATGTAAAGTTCTCCGCAATCTCCAGTGGTTCCCCTTGAATTGTAAGGGATATGTTCGCATATGGCACGTTCTGAAGCATGACTTTGCACTTTGAAGGTGCAAGGCGCATGCCAAAGATGTTATGATGGTGGTCAGTTTATTCAACAAGGTTTGCGTTTCGTTTTGGTCTTCAAAGATGAGGGCGATGTCATCTGCGTGCTCCAAATCAACAAGGCTCTCACCATCAACAGCCTGAACACCGGGATTTAGAACACCGTCCAGTGTTCACATGATTTCATCAATGACGAAGTTGAACAAGAATGTAGAGAGTGGACATCCTTGTCTGAAACCACGTTTTGTAGGGAAGCTACTGGAGAGCTCACTATACACTCACACCCGCCCAGAAGAATGTGAATATAGGGATCGGATTATGTTTACCAAATTTCTGGGGCATACCCTGTTGAGCGAGTGTAATTTGCAGCACTGATCGATCAACAGAATCAAACGCACCCTTGAAATTAAGGAACACCAGGATTGCTGGTCATCTGTGCATGCGGCGTTGCTCTAACACCTGACGGAGTGTGAAGATTTGGTCAACCCAGCCTCTACTCGGTCGAAATCCCGCTTGATTCTCACGAGTCAATGCTTCGCGTGCCACCGTAAGACGAAGAAGAATCAGTGATGCCAGAAGCCTCGTCACAACAGGCGTCAAACTAACACCTTCGTGGTTATTACATTCACTGCGATTGCCCTTTTTGAAAATGGGCACCATTATCGATTCACCCGTTGTCTGGGACGATTTCCTTCTCCCAGATAAACCCAAATAGGCTAGACAGGCACTAGCTGAGAAATCCACCGCCATCCTTGGAAAGAGCAAGTGGAAGGTTGTCAGGACCAGCAGCACGATGACGCTTGAGTAGGAAAATACATTCGGACACTGAAGGCGGCTCCATATTTACGGTCCACCTTTCTGTTGAAGGCCAAGATTTTGGAATGGAAGTAGCAGGTGGCCGGCTGAATTGCTGTTCGAAGTACTGTGCCCAGCGGTCCAAACGTTCTGCTTTGCTGCATATCAGAGAGCCATTTTGGTCTCTGATTATTTCGATGACAAGAGGTTTCAGAGGACCAGTCGAACGAATCAAATGGAACCGTTTGCGCACGTTTCCAGCATTCTTTGCATCTTCCATTTCTTCGGCCTTTCGGGTCCACCAAGCTTCTCGGTCTGCGCGGACACTCAGTTTCACCTGGGGTCGGATGATGCGCCGGGTGGAGTAATGGTGACGGCCAGGGGGGACACAGTCCTATCAGAGATCCAATGCTTGGATGAGTTTGGCTGGGTTGTACCGCAAATGGACATTCTGGCTTTGAGTATCGCTTTGGATATTTTTTCCTGGTGGCCGTTTACATCCGACAATGTGCTGTCCGGTAGGTATTCGAGGAGCTGGTTCTGATAGTTTCGTTTGACTTCTGGGTTCATTAGCTTCTCGGTGGATAAGCGAGGTGTGCGCGTTTTGCGTACACCTGAATGGCGCAATGAAAAGCAGCAGCATACAAGTGCACGGTCGGAGTCCACTCTGGTGTTCCAGAAGGAGCGGCAGGC